AGCAATTTTCTCCAAGAATCAGGGAATTTAAGGTTGGCACATGATTGCTATTTTATGAAAATGATAGTAATTGCAAATTTACTATCTATATAAATCTCCATAATTACTATTTGTCGTAAATTCACAATTTGCTATTTATAGTAAAAACCAAGCCTGATGATAGGAGCTCCAAGAGAAGGGGGATTTTTTTTTTTTTAATTGGAAACAGTAACTTTCATTAGCTTAAAAACAGAAATTCAAATTAGTGTAAGGTGACCGCTGATCATAAATTCAAATTACAACACAACCCAAAACAAAGACTCCTGATTCACCCCTTGCTTTGTTGGATTGTCAGCTAAAGCATTTGTTGATCTCCTAGTCCAATTTACATGTGTGCCCAACTCCCTTGTGAGGCTTAGTAATTCCCTTATAGGTTGTTTAAGGGACCACGTTCCCAAACTATTTGTTTGCAACCAACCTACTACTAAGTTTGAGTCTCCCTTCACTTCTAGCTATTTAATACCCAATTGCTTAGCCAATCTGAGCCCCTGGAGGAGGGCCATCACTTCAGCTCTAAGCGAGTCCCCCAGTCCTATTGGACCAAAATGCATAGCCAGGATTCTTCCTCCCGCATCTCTAAACACACCCCCATGTCTAGATGGTCTAGGGTTCCTAACAGAGTTACCATCAAAGTTTAGTTTCACATTACACTGCAGAGGGGACCAAATTGCTTGTATGGTAGATGATGAAGCAAAAGACCTTGCTAAAATACTCCAACCTCTATTCAAGTCATCTATAGAACATCCTTGCTTCTATAGAGTTTTCAGCCAATGAATGGCCTTGACAGTGATCCCTTCTATAAGTTCAGGAGCTTATTTTTCTATCCCTTGGAAAATCTTGTTATTCCTCTTTTCCCATACTACCCACAAGATAGCTGCCCTCGTTGTCCTCCACATCACCCTTTCTTTCTTCTTTGGTTGTTGGAAAAAGTTAGGGTCAAAATAAATCCACTACACTCGAGGGGGGATTCCACCTGCAGTCAAAGAGAGAGAGGAGAACCAATCCCATTGAAGGGAAGGGAGAGCCATCATATGGATGGCCGAACAATGCAGGGTGGCTGGGCGAAATTTCAAAAATTTCTTTTTCCCTTCTAGGAATTCTATTCCCGGATTTAGAAAAACTACATTTTTCAAGGTTTGTTCTTGAAACAAACTGGACCAAATTTGAAACCAAGAATAAGGGAGGGATATACCTGATTCGGAATCCACGCAAGTAGCTCCTAACATAGGTGTTCACGCCCAAAGAGGGTACCAAATCCCACTTCCCTGAAGATGACACAGCTTAGGGTGAGGCAGGATCGACAAAGAAATTCTTCAACAAGAATTGCAATCCTTCAGCAAGGATCCCACAGGGATGTGAGCACAACTTCAGATCTGATCCTTCTAGCAAGAATCAGAATCAAGAACCTTTCTTGATCAGTCCAAGAATGTGGAGATTGAACTGGGTAGGGCGGCAAGAACAGAGAGAAGATCTGGATTTGCAAAAAGTGTTTAATAGAAGGATTTCTCCCTCTATTTATAATCCTTCTTGGATCAGCTTCCTAATCATATCAGGAGAGGGTTCTTTGATCCAAATCTTTATTTGGATCAGAACTCCTAAGAGGATAAGACATATCTTATCCTCTTGCTGATTTAGAAGCAGATCTAAACTCAAATACATCCATCTCTTATTAATCTCATTAAGCCAGTTTGAATTGGGCTTTAGGCCCATTAAGTCATTAGGCTCACTTCCCCTTTAATTTGCTGGCTAGCTTGGCTCTCTTTGTATGGCGTGGGACCCTAGCATTGATCTCCACAAAAGCCATATGGGTTCAGCCTAGCCTCTGTTACAAGGCTTGGCCGAATTCACTGCTAAGGACAATGAACCCTTGAGTCCATCAGTATGGTTTCTTAGTAGGCTCAACATTTACACTAAATGGTCCCTGGGTCCAGCCACCTTATGAAGGCCCAAGGACTATGGACTTAAGTGAGATTAGCCCATTAGGTAAAAACCCTAAATGGTCTTATAGTTAACCTCTCGGCCCATAATGACAAGAGAGAACCTCTCCCTTGGCTGCAAGGTGCAGTGTTGCACTCTCTACTCACATGGATCCTGGGAATTAAAACATTTTGCAAACATTTTGTGAAGCCATAATATATATGTATATTTCTATATAAATATATATTGCAAAACAAATCTCAACAAGTTTGAAATCAACTGCTGGCAGTTTAGGTTTCCATCATATAGAGTGCATTCCCTGATCATTCACTTTGTTCGACAAAGGAGCTGAATTCTCAGACTACCCTAACATACCCAGGTTTTGACCCCCGCTAAGGATCTCACTGATTGCTATATCAAGGGCAGCCCAATCCAATACTTAGTGCAGTACCATAATCGAGTCTAAGGGTTAGGTCTCCAAGGTCCAGGGCATAACTGGAAAATGGTCCGGTTCAGGGTTTCAAGCAAACTCACACTACATGTGCTTCAAGTCTCACCCTGGCAGCTGAGACAGGCCACCCCAACCGACTTGGCAGCACATTAGTGTCAGCCTTGGTAGGATAAACCTCCCCAATTCTATCCAATGACTATGAAGAATTTAAACTAACACGAGTCTCATAAGTGTCCAGTTTAAGGGTATTACACAGAAACACACCATAGATAACACGAATCAATTATGTACTTTATTCATTTCAATAAATGTCAAAATGTACATGAATCTGATTGGAGCCAAGGGCATAAACTGTCTAACACCCATGTGAGAGCACTAAAAGGACAAGAAATTAATAGGTGATTCATCGTCTCACCATTCTTCAAGCAAAGGTTATAGACATGTGGGGACAAGCACCAATTTGGTCTTTTTCTTTGAAGCACTTCCAAGGTATTAATTTTTTGGAGAACCACTTCCCAACAAAAAGCCCTTTCCTTTGGAGGTATCGGAGCACTCTAGACTTCTTTAATAGGAAAGGAGGTGGCCAGGTTAGAAGGGAGCACTAGAGCATTGAAAAAGGAAGAACAAGAAAGAACAACCTGAAGAGGTTTCAGTCCAAATTCTACTATTAGGACAAGAATTGTCCAGAAAAACTGAGTTTAGAAGAGAAAAAAGTTCATTTGCCAATCCCACTTTTGAGTCCCTCAAACCTCTCCTTAGTCCCAGATCCCAAGAATCCTCAGAGATACGAAAAGAAGAAATAACTTGAAATTTGTTCAAAGAGAGGGAATAGATGTTCGGGAATCTATCCTTAAGGGGAGATTCTCCAATCCACGTGTCCTCGCAAAAAAGAACCTTATTACCCATGCAAGCATCATATTTGATGAAAGGAGAGAAAACGGGCAGGATACCAACAATGTCTTTCCGTGGGGAAAAACGAGGAGGAGATCAATGACACTTGGGAAATACTTGTAAAGTTTGATCAGACTAGAGTTTCATAGAAAATAAAATAAAGGAAAAACTAGAGAGAAAATAGTAGGAAGAAAAGAGAATAGTAGAGGAAGAACAAAGGGAGGAAGAGAGAATGTTGGGAGAATCTGTCTTGGGCAGTATAACAGCCCTATTCTTTATTATTTATATGATGTGTAAAATTAGAAGAATGCCCTACTACCTCCTAGAGTGTGTACAAAATAAATATAATAATAAAAAATATAAACTATGACATGTCAGCATGTATATAAGAAGAATAATCAACTTCTTAACACTCCCCCTCAAGCTGAGCATGGATGTTAATCATGCCCAACTTCTTTTTTGATGATTTTAATCATGCCCAACTTGTTAATATGGTGTACTTGGATTTAGGAACCCTTTTTGTGAATGTCTGCTAGCTGCTCTTTTGAAGCAATGAATGGAAGGCAAACTTCCCCAAAGACTACTCTTTCCTGTATAAAGTGTCTATCAACTTCGATGTACTTTGTCCTATCATGCTGAATTGGGTAATGACGAATATTGATGGCTGCCTGATTATCAAAATTCAGCATCATGGGGTTTTATAGTCAATTCCCAGTTCACCAAGAAGGGATCTAACCTGTAGAATCTTTGACACACCATGAGCCATGTCCTCTATATTTGGCTTCTGCACTAGAATGAACAACGACAAAAGGACACTGTTTCTTACTCTAGTAGACTAGACTGCCCCCAAGCAATGTACAATACTCAGAAGTGGGCCTCCTGTCATCGTCATTGTTGGCCTTATAACTGTTTTATCAAATTTTCCTTTTAGCTTAAGTTTATTCTCCTATTGCATAGGATTCCTGATTCACTCCTCGGTCATATCCATCCCAGTCTAATTCTCTAGGTGACATCCTTAATCTCTCCCTTATCATTAATTATTGAACCAAGGCGATTAAAGAGATCATGTCAAAGTGTCTCTTGGTCTCCATTTCTCAATTCACTATACTATTATTATTAAATTATCATTGTATATATTCAGTTATATTCCTACTTGGTTGTTTTAATTTAGAATGATTAGTATAGTATAATATAATGTTCTCTAAACTTTTACAGAATTTGCACATTTTCGTGAAACCAAAGAATTAGATGTCCATTTGATGTTTCTCCTTTCTCGTAAGGACCAACATTTCAGTGAAATCAAAATTGTAAACCTTGGGGAAAAACCAAAATAGTATTGATGTATCCAAGAGCCAACTCTTCAGTTGAGATAAAGCTGCTGTTATTGCTGATGGCTCTGCCAATGCCAATGGCAATGACAACCATGTATTTTATGCAAATCTGATAGAGGTTCTAACATTTTACTGATAAATAACATCATTTGGTCAAGTTTTGGGGCTAGTTGGTTGAACTGTATTGACCTGGCTGGGCTGATTTTTTGTTTACATTTTTTTGGTTAGTTTTAGTAATTGTGTATTGTTATGTTCTGCATGAAGAACTAGTTTAACTTTATCCAATATCTATATCCTTATTTTGGAATGGCAGCTTATTTACTTCTTTTTATTGTTTGAAGTACTTACTCAAACTTCCATGTATGCCGCAGAATTTCTGTTGGAAGCTCAGATAAAGACATTATTGGATCATGCCTACTCTGTGGTTCTCCTTATGATGATTATTCATCAAGATGCAGATGCACTTATTGTCGGATGTTGGTTTTGGTGTGTGGCAGTTGCCAGGTTTGAATACTTAAAATACTAGTTGGATTTGTCATATCATTGACTTGACATCAAGAACTGTACAAGGTGACTACCTTGAATCTTAGAGATTTTTTACCAGTTCGTTGCCCATAATTTATGGAGATTTTTTGGTCTAAATCTCATTTTCTTGAGATTATGGTTGGATATTTTGGGTTTTTCTTTTTTGTTTCTACCAAGAAATTGACAAAAATGAGTTTTGAGTTTATCTAGTCCTCAATTCCACTCACTATGTTCTTCATGAAATATGGAAGTTTGATCCATGGCATGTTTCTCGATCAGTATGCGAGGAATCCTGATGTTGTACCTTAGTTCTATAGTCCCTGTTGTACACTATCATAGTATTCTTTCCTTCTTTTTACTCTTCTTTACCCCACAAGGGCCTCTCTCTCTCTCTCTATATATATATATATATATTCTGACTCTCTAGGGAGAGGTCGATGGATTTCTATTTTCTCCCTAAACCGGTTGTGCTCTCTTGTTCGAACTGATTGTGTGGCATTGTATCAGAGCAGGTTGCTCCATAGACTGTTTCTGCTCCATGCTCACTCATTAACCTCTCAAACCTTGATAGTTTCTGGACTCATCGACTGAAGCTAGGGCTGTTTCAGTCAACACTAATCCTGGTTACTCTGTTCTGCGATTTCAGCAAGGGAAAAGTTCATAGAACTCCTTGGGAAAGCATCTGTTCGAAGTGAATCTTTAACTGGTATGTCACCCAGACCGGGTTTACTTACTCAGAAAATTTCATTATGATTGGACAAGTATTTAGGGAGTTCTGATCTTTCCTCTCTTGGATGGCAGTCTCTGGAAATCTGCATATCAGGTTGGTGAATCTGACCTATCTGCTCAATCTTATATCGTTTGTTTCTGAGAACCCTAATTTTAGAGTTGCGCTAGGGTATTCTCACTCCTTAAACCACTCAGTTGTATTTTGGATTCAGTTCTGGAGAGTATTTTCCTTCTCTCCAGTTCAACAGTCCTGAAACTCTGCTGGTTTTGACTGTTATCACTCAAAAATATCAGGTTGGATCCTTTTTTTGAAGGATTCTGATTCCTTCATAGCTTGGTATATCTCTGTGAGTTGCATAACTGAGGTGAACGACTATATATATATATATATATATATATATATATATATATATATATATATCTGCTGGGCCTAGGAATGGCAATGGGGCGGGTTCAGGGCGAGGAGTACATTACCCATCCCCGACCTCGACCCCAAATCACCCCCCATCCCCGTCCCTGATCCCCGACGGGGAAAGGATTCCCCCCTCCATCCCCGACCCCGACGGGGATGAATTCCCCATTGGAGACCCAAATCCCTGGATTTCCCATCTTCTCTCTTTTTATTTTCTCATCACGACATTAATTTTAAAAGTTGAGAGAAAGACTGAGAGTATGAAAGACTGAAACTGAGAGAGAGAGAGAGAGGGGACCATTGCGAGAGTTTAGGTCGACGATGAGAGAGAGTCCGAAGGTTGAAGGAAGATCTTTGTTCTTTGAGTATCTCTTCTCTTAGTTCTCTGGCCTTTGTCGAGACTTGGGACTCGAGTATCTCTTCCTCTCCTCTGTTCGATGTCCGATGGGCGAGTGGGCAATGGCGACAGTTAGCGATGGCGGTCGGTGAATTGGTGACGAAGACAAAGCTAGGGTTTACTGGTTGAATCGCCTCTCTAGTCTCTTCTCTCTGTCGAAAACTCGGTTAATTTTTAGAACTTTAGTCGAAGGGTTTTTGAGTGTTTTACTGTTTTACGAATAAATTAAAAATTATTATAATTATATAATATATAATATTATATTATATATGATATATAATTTATAATTATAATATTAATCGGGGGCGGGTCAGGGTGGGGATTGCATTCCCCATCCCCGTCCCCGAACCTGATCGGGGATTCAGGGGTCGCCCCATCCCCGACCACGGCCCTGCCAAAGTGTCCCCCATACCTGACTTCGTTGAGTCGGGGAGCCCGGGTACCCGTCGGGGACGGGGAAAATTGCCACCCCTAGTTGGGCCTGATCTCTCTGCCACTTCTCTGTATGGTTTGCTTTGGCATTGCTGTCAAGAGTGTCTCTTCTGAGAGATTCTCTTGGTTGATTGCTGGGACAATGATTTCAGCAATTGCATAATCTTTGGATCAAATATAGAGATTAACAATCCTTGAAATTAGTTACCAGGACTGTTACATCACTCTTAGATGGTTTTTTTTTTCTTGATTGAAATGGCTGAAAAGGAGGACATTATGCCGGTGAAGTTCGATGGGACTAACTACAGCATGTTGAAGTTCCATTTTGACTTTGTTGTTGTAGGAAAAGGGCTCGAAGGATACTTAAATGGGGCTGTTAATAAACCTGATGAATCAGATACTAAGGCATTTTCCCAATGGAAACTTGTCAATGGGAAAATTATCTCCTGGATTCTCAGCTTTGTTGTTTCTCACATTACCAAGGTTCAAAGTATCGGAAACGCAAGGTGTATCGGAAAGGTAATTTTAAGAGACTATCGAGATACGCTTTGGAAACGTATAGATACAGACGAAAAATCAAGATATGCATGTATACACTAGAAAATCCTTAAAAATATGAACAATAATAAAAAAATGAGTTTTATGTGAGTATAACTAATTTATTTAAACATAAAAACCATTCTTTAATGATTTATATAAAGTATCGGGATATAATTAGTAACCATTGAAAAATAATAGAACTAAAATGTTTGTATTTATACTAATATTTGTTAGTTAATATTTTTTTGAAATCATTTATTAGTTAATATTTATTATATATAGAATTAGATAATATTTATTATGTATACAAGTTAATATATACCTTAATTTTTAATAAATCAACATAACTTGTATTCATCTTATTATTATATAAATATTAATAATCAAATTTATAGCATTTGTCAGGAAACATCCACCAAGGCAAGAAAGATTACTTAAGTATAAAAAGACGTCTTTCTAATAAGTAATTAATGTTGGCATAATGGTTAATTAATTATTGTTATAAGCAAATGACTTGGGTTCGAAACTTGTTACATTTGGTTTGTGATTGTTAACAAGTTATTTCACTTAAATAACATTTAATGACATTATTAAAAGTTGTAATCAAAGGTAACTTAAATGAGCATTTAATTAAATTATATTAGCATTTAGTGACGTCCCAAACTTTAAGACTTAATTAAAATTGATATTAATGAGAAAGAAGAGATAAATAAAATTTAAATTTAAAAAGAAGAGGGAAATTAAATTCGACTGATAAATAATGCGTATCGGCCCGTTTTGGGTATGTATCGACACGTTTCGAATTGTATCGGCCGACACATACTCGAAATGGCCCAATACGAAGCCGATGCGGACCCGTATCGGTCCGATACAGACGAAAAAATACAGAACCCTGTTATTAGACATGTTCCGTGTATAGGAACTCTTTCGAAACGATACGTATCGGCCCGTATCGGCCAATACGTTGCGAAATTTAAAACCTTACACATTACTATTCCTATGAGGAGAAAGCGAACAGCCTATGATATATATTCTTACTTGAAGAAGGTCTATCATCACTCCAATATGCCAAGACAATACCAAATTGAGTTTGAAATATTTACCTATTGCTAGGGAGACAAAAAGATACAGGATTACTATGCAGGCTTTCTTAATTTATGGGCAGAATATGAACTATTTCACATTGGGCCATCTGATTCAGTAGTGTGTTAAGTATATATAAAAGCACTTTGAGAGGAGGAAGGTGAACCATTTCTTCATGAGACTGAGACCTGAATATGGGATTATTCGGTCCAATATTCTGAGTAGGGGTACATTGCTAGGTATAGATTCTGTGATGGGAGAGTTGCTGAGAGAAGAGAGACTTATGATTGATGCAAATTTGGAAGGGAAGCAACATGAATCTAGGGATGAAATAGTTTTTATTGCATAGGGGAGTAAGAAATCTGGTGGAAAGGATATGTCTAAATCCCAATGTTATGAATATAAATGTTTTGGACATAGTGCTTCACACTACAAGAAGAAGAATGTTTGCACATACTATAAGTAAAATGGTCATATCATTCTAGATTGTCCCGTTTGTCCCTCCAAAGGTAGTATGAAGAAGAATCAACAATGGGCTTACTAGGTATCTGAAGGACAGACGACTGATGCACCCAGTGTCAAAGGTGAATCCTTTGCTCCCATGAACAGGGAAGAGATACAAGAATTGGTATCCTCTGCTATCTCATCTGCATTTTTTGCTATTGGCTTATCTAATGTGTTCTCTGGTTATTGTTCCTCTTATTCACATGTTTGGATAAATGATTATGGGGCTACCATTCATATGATTGGAGCCTACCCTGAACCTTCAAATAAATCTTCGGAGACCCATCATAAGCACATTGTTATTGCCAATGCTGAGAAACTAAATATCATTGGGAATAATGACTTGTGTTTGAAGCTCTCACCCTCATCTTCTCTTTCCCTTACCAAAACCTTCTTTGTTCCCAAACTTACTACTAACCTTGTTTCAGTTGGTCAATTGGTTGATGAAGATCACATTCTAATATTTTCTTTTGATGGTTGTTTGATTCAGGACCGGTGCATTGGGAAGGTGAAAGGGAAGGGGCATAGACTGGGCTGCTTGTTTGCCTTGGAATTCAAGGGATCTCAATCAGCACAATCATCTACTTATTTCAGTTCTTCTTCATTGAATTTTGGTTTCGGTCAAAGAAATAACATTTGGGATTTATGGCATAAACGTTTGGGTCAACCAAACTCTAAAAAACTTAATTTTTTGTCTGTCTCCGTTTCATTAGAAGTAAAGTTCCCTCCTTGCAAACTTTTGATACATCTTGTGTTACTTGTTTGAGTAAGTCATATTTTGCCATTTCCTCACAAGGCTGAATATGCTATCTCACCTTTTGAAAATGGTGTAGTTGAACAAAATAATGAGCACATTTTCAGTGTTGTGAGAACTCTTCTTCA